ATTATTTTGCGAATATAATACCCCTTTCACCTTTATGTTACATTATTAGATTTATGAATTCTCCTACTAAAACTGCAAGCAAAAGTTTTGCAATTTAACTATTTTACTTTATACCTGTACCCTCTAAATGGAGTTTTCATGGATTCTGTTGTTTACTCCAAATATACTGACTGATACTGACTGATTACCATAGAGATTAACAGGTTTTTGGACAGACACGTGGACATGATTATATATGAAGAAAAAAGGACTTTAGGGTGCAAGATCGAGTTTTAGTTTTTGTTTTTCAACATCTTTGCAGGTGAGATAACGGGCTAGAAATGGCAGTATGGAATTCCGATAGGCCGAAGTGCGGCAAGGGATGTAGCGGAAGCATCGACGCGTGCGGCGTAAGGATTTCGCAGCCATTGACTCATTATGAAGGGGGTGGACGGTGTCATTCAGAATTCGGTCAGCGAATTGCTCCACCGAGTTGAAATGTCGCTGCACGATGATATCAACTAAAAGATGATAGATGGCCCCCCATACTCACACAAACTCAGCAATAGTCCTATCCACGACACTTGACGTGTCGGGATAGTCTCGGACTCAAGTCACCCGTGCAGCCGAAGCGGCATGGGGACCGAGTCGAGATGCATACTTCCCACTTGCGTGGAAGGTGGCAGTTGGTGCATGCGGTGGGTGAGTGTTGATGCGTGGTGGTGATGATGGAGAAGGGTAGGGAGTGTGTGAATTTGAGGTGTAGCCGGCGGTTGTCTACCGCAGGTCGTCGTGGATGCGCATGTGGCCGAATAGGCCCATACGATGCCTGAAAGTGCAAGGACAGTGTGGGCAGTGGAAGCGAGCTTGGTGGGTGTAGGTTGGTGCTCCGGGCATTGGTTCGTCAGCCTCTGTGCGATGGATTCGCAAGTGGTGCGCGGGTTGTGCTGGGCATGATGGGTGTGGTTGGTGTATCGGAATTGTGGTCAATTCCGCTCTCGTGGATGCGCATGTGGCCGAATAGACCCATGCGATGAGTGAAGGTGCGAGGGCAGTGAGGACAGTGGAGGCGAGTGCGGTGGGTGTAGGTTGGTGCTCCAGGCACTGGTTCGCCGGTCTCTGTGCGATGGATTCGCAAGTGACCGACCAGGCCGATGCGTGAAGTGAAGGTGCGGTCGCAGTCAGGGCAGGAGTATTCCTGGTCCTCACGTCTGGAGCCGGAGACTGAAGGGATGATGCCTGGTGGTGTGTCAGGGATGCGTGCGGTAATGTCGTGCGCGACAGTCGCCTGAGCGGTCGTCGATGAGGCATTAGACGAGGAGGAGGAGAAGGAGGAGGAGGAGGACGAGGAGGAGGAGGAGGGGGAGGAGGAGGATGGAGGTGGTGGTGGTACAAAAGGATTGTCAGAGTTAATTGGCGGCAGAGAGGACGAGGAAGAGGTGGGCAGAGGGACGTTAACTGGAGTAGTTCGAAAGGCGCAGTTGGTCCGAAGATGTCCAATAAGTCCGATTCGAGCCCGGAATATCCGTTGACATCGAGGACACGTTGGAAGCGGTGGTGCAGCGGCGTGGCGGACTGGGCGAATTTGTGATTTGCGGGCTTCGCGTTTCGCTTTGGCGGCAGCGATTCGGTTGGTTTCATAGATAGCAGCCCCCGTCTTCACTGTTCTCCTCCATGTCGGACGATCGCGAGCGAGCTCTTCGCAGTTGGTCTGGTTGATTTGCGGGCGCTTCAGGGAGGACTTCAGGGTATCCTTGTAACGGCGAATTTGGCCTCCTTGACGGCGAGAACCCGTCGCGACGTCTCCGTAGAAGAGTCGTTTGGGTAGTCGCTCGTCGTCCATGCGCAACAGGTGGCCGCTCCAGCGCAGCTGCATTTGTCTCAACATGGAGTAGATGCTCAGGATTCCCGTTCGTTCCAGCACATCGGTGTCGGGGATGCGGTCCGGCCAGTTCAGCCTCAGGATGCAACGAAGACAACTGAGATGGAAGTGGTTCAGTCGACGTGCCTGTCTCGTGTACACCGTCCAGGTCTCTGCTCCATACAGTAGCGTCGACAGGAGGACGGCCTAGTAAATCTTCAGTTTCGTGCACAGTTGGAGACCCTGACGATTCCAGACTGCTTTGGAGGCGTTCGAAGGCTTGTCTGGCTTTCGAGATCCTGTTGGCGACTTCGTCATCGATCTTGGTGTTGCGGGACAGGGTACTGTCCAGATACAGGAAGTTCTCCACCACTTGCAGTTGGGTTCCGTTCACGCTGATTTGCGGCGCGTTGGGGGCTGTGGCTGATTTGGGCGGAGGTTGGTGCATCACCACCGTCTTCTGCGTGTTAATGACCAGACCGAAGTTCTCGCAGGCGGCGGAGAACAGGTTCATGCTCCGTTGCATCTCCTCTTTCGAGGTGGTGTTCAGGGCGCAGTCGTAGGCAAAGAGGAGTTCGTGCACGGTGGCTGTGGATACACGCGATTGGAAGTTCATGCGCCGTTGATTCAGCAGACGACCGTCCTTCCGGTAGTCGATGCGGATTCCGGGGCGTTCGTCGCAGTAGGCGTCCATCAGCATGCCAGAGAACATAAGACTGAAGAGGGTAGGCGCCAGCACGCATCCCTGATTTACTCCGTTGGTCGCTACGAATGCCTCTGAGACAGTACCGTTGTCCGTAACTCGCGCCATCATACCGTCGTGTAGCTGACGCACCATCTGAGTGCATCGCTCCGAACAGCCGTATTTCGGCATGATCTTCCACAGTCCTTCACGATTCACCGTGTCGAAGGCTTTCGTCAGGTCCACGAAGGTAGAATATAGGTGGGTCCGCATTTCCTGACACTTCTCCTGAAGTTGACGGGCGGCGAAGATCATATCCGTGGTCCCACGATGACGACGGAAGCCGCATTGGCTTTCCGGCAGAAGGCCCTGTTCCAGGTGGTTATTGGTGCGGTTGAGAAGGATGCGAGCGAAGATCTTCCCGGCGATGTTCAGCAAGGAGATGCCGCGGTGATTGTCGCAGACTTGACGATTCCCTTTTCGCTTGTATAGGTGCACGATTGTTGCGTCTTTGGAATCTTGCGGGACTTCGCCTTGACGCCACATCTCCTGGAAGAGCGCAGTCAGGTGATCCATGAGTTGGGGACCTCGGTGCTTGTAGACCTCAGCAGGGATCGCGTCCGACCCGGGTGTTTTCCCGCTGGAGAGCTGCTACACGGCCCTGATGGTTTCCTGGAGAGATGGCGGGAGGTCGAGGTCCGCGTTGGTCTCCACTTGCGGCAAACGCGCGATGGCGGCGTCGGAGATGGCGGAAGGGCGCTTGAGGACGCCTCGGAAATGCTCGGCCCGTCGCTGCAGTATTTGTGTCTTCTCAGTCAGGAGAGTACTGCCGTCGGCGCTGAGAAGAGGAGCAGTGCCCTTCGTCGGCGGACAGTAGACAGCTTTGATCGCAGAGAAGAAGTTCTTCCAGTCGTTACCGTCCGCGTAGCCTTGGATCTCCTCAGCTTTGCGAGCAGTCCAGGCGTCCTGCATCTCGCGCAGTCGTTGCTGAAGTTGGCGGCGACTGCGGTAGAAGGCAGCTTTGTTGTCGTCAGTGGGGTGATCTACGTAGGCTTTGTGTAGGCGGTTCTTCTCAGCAAGCAGATTTCTGGTGGCGGCGTCGTTGTCGTCGAACCAGTCCTGGTGTTGGCGGGGAGCGCCGTCGCCTGGACCGTGTCTCGCAGTTGACACCAGCGGTTCTCCACGGAGGCGTTCCCGGCGGTGGCGGCGTCCGCAGCGATTGGAAGATTGTCTAGCCGTTGAGCTAGCTCATTGCTGAAATGAAGATGATGAGCGGGCAAAGACAACAAGGCAACATTCATCTTACCTGAGGGTCGATTACCTTGTGGTCTCCTGCGAGGTTGTAGGCGAATACGCATCTTCAAGATGACGAGGCGATGGTCGGTCCACCCGTCAGCACCCGCAATCGCCTTCGTCACCAGCACGTCCCGCTGGTCACGCCTTCAGATGAGGACATGATCCAGCAGGTACCACTGCCGCGACCGAGGATGCCTCCAGG